ATCATCCTAGTGAAATCGTGAAAAGTTAAATCAGGGGTAATGTGAATTACCGTGTTGTAATCATGTCAAGTTACGTGCCACTGCAGTGTGCTCATGATTAAAGTTAACAGCGTCAAGTTGTGCTCTTCGTTCGATATTTTCACTATCGGGATCAAAGGTAAGTCCTTCTTAATTTATATATTAACCATATTAACTTAGAAAATTATAATTGTTTTTATGTCTGTTAATAACATGATTCGAATGTCAGGCGTTAAAGCCAGTAGACACCGAGAAAGTATATTTTATATGGAAATGAGAAATTAAGGTTCTTATTTTTATCAAGATATAGGAGAATTCTTAGAGATTCTTAGAGCAAGGGAAACGATTATTGAAACATTTGAAAATAATGAAAGGAGTTATGTTTGACCCACCATCGAAAACTGAGAAATGGCTGTTCTTTTTACATCATGCTGAAGTGATTCTTAATCTCTATAAAATATCTGAAGAAGGGAAAATTATTTTGCAGAGTTTTAAAAACAAAAGTTAAAAGTTTGATCGCGACTCTCGATGAAATGGATTGAAATAACAATATTATGATTAAAGACACCGTATTAAAAGAATTCGAGATTCCTCGGAAAAACCGATCGAGGCAGGCTGGTGGCGTGAATACGAGACTTGGTACTTTAGCGATTGGACCGGCAGCCATGCCGTGTGGAAAGAGATTACTTAAAACATGTTTTGCGCGCCTTTATATTATGTATATAGTTGAGATTACTTAAAACATATTTTGCACGCCTTTATATTATGTATATAATTAAATGTATACTATACTAGTGATATTTGTTTTTATTGTATATTGTGTACCGTTATGTGTAATAAATTAGAGGATAAATTTCAAAGATAGAGATTATTTTCCTACTATGGCGAGTGCATAGACGAACCTGCCTCGTGCTTGAAAGAGCGCGAGGTGATAGATGTACTTTTAATTACGTAAAAACCTTCAAAACCTGTAAGAACAGCAGATTTTCAGAAAAGGTAATCCAAAAATGGCCAATTCAACATTGTTGCTATAGGGTTTCCAACACCCCTTAATAAAAAGGAGTAAAATATTTTTAAAAAATGGCATTTATGGAAATACGAAAAAGAAATATGTTTAGCTTATATAATATTTCTGTAAAATAAATAAAAATTGAGCATTTAAAAGCAATTTTTTAAAATAAAAAACCAAAAGGAAATATTTATAGTTTTTAAAATCAGTATTACTTTTGTAAAATGAAAGAACTTAAAATCTTTTTAAAGTAAAAATAGCGAAAAGAAAAATTTAAATTAAAGTTTCACGTTATTAAACTAAATATTGAAGAGAAAAACATTTTTGACACGAGAAAGGGAAAATAAAAGAATTTTAAAAGTCAAAATTGCATTTACCACAAGTTGCAACTTTGATAGAGATTCGCGTTCCTTTAAGCCTCGGGGCGTCTCCCTATGACGGTCGGTTACTATTAAGCTTGTTATTGTAAACTGGCTATTCAAATTACAGTCGGTATGCGCAAAGGGGGCCTGAATTTTCATCCTGAAAAATAAAAACAAAATTATTGTTACACATCACATAAAAATATCAGTTTAAAATGATAATTCAATTCTGAGTCACAAAGCATGAGAATATTTGAGAAGGTTATATGGCATACGCAAATAACCAAAATGAAAGGTACTCGAAACGCATGTCTGTGCACTGTCTGCAAAAGTTCAGACCGGATCTTGGTCGTTTGTGGTAGGCATTGACTTGCAAGTACAAAATGTGTTTTGAAAAAAACGTAAATGTTTGCGCTTTGGTACTTTTAAATTTAAAAAGTCATTTTTTTTAAAATTTTGTTTTAAAAATTACGAAGCCTTATTCTTCATATGTTTTCTCCGACACTCATAATTTTATGAGGAAAAAGTTTGCACTCGTTATGAAATAATTTTGAACATAAGTATCTCCGTCTGATTTCGATTGACATCAGTCAATTGTTTTGTGATTTATTTATTATAACCAAAAGGAAAGTTTCCGAAATGATTAGGTATTGGAGGAAAGAATAATTAGTAAAATGTAGAAAACTGATACTTTTATTTTCAGCTTTTTTGAAATGAACTCATTATGCAGCGTGCGAAAAAATTTAAAAAGTCTCTTCTCTCAAAATTTAATTTTCAACGTTCTATTTGGAAATAAAAATACCAATTAACAATAGACAGAACTCGTCCTTCACTTTGTAAATTATTCTAGAAATCCTTGACTTCCTATAGCTGGGTAAAAACCTGAAATCTCTTACTAAATTTGGCATGGAATATGCCACTAAATTTCAAACGTAAAAATGTGCGCCATTTTTTTTACATAAAATTTCTCATATAATAATTCTTGGATTAGACTTTTTTTGAAAAGTATCTTGACCCAAAACGTTTAAACTGTTTTCTTAAAAACATTCGTTTGCTATTGAAATTTTATAAATATAACTAGACTGAGTTTTTGAATAAATGAAATTACAAACGCATAAGCACATTGTTTGGAACTTTTGTATAAGAAAACGTAATCGCATATAAATCAAGTTCTTATATCGCTTAATTACAATGCATCAGATCTTTAGTAAATAAAGAAAGCAATAAAATACACATGGTGGTTTGGCAATACCAAAACATCATATCCCGCAACAGCTCTTCTTGATTATTTCATACCTTAGGAAACACGAGCAAATATGTCAATTGCGGAAACATTGCAGTTTGGCAAGCGATAAGGTGGTGCGCAGGAGAATTGATTATCGGGGAAAATATTTCTGCAAGGTAGGAGGTGATTTGTATTCATTCTGGATGTGGAAGAGAATGTTATTCTAGGACTTCGAGAAATAAGGAACATAATTTGGATAAGAGTGCACTTTCGAACCAAAGTGAATTTGCGGAATTAGGAGTCATGTTTCTTCTTTCTGTAGTCATTTGAAGCCGTGGTTTCTGATGTCAACATCAAAGACTTAACGATATCACATTTGGATTTTAGTGAAGTGTAGTTCTCCAGTGCTTTCTTCAGCAGTAGGTATGGCTTTCGCCGAACGAAACAAACACAATGCAAGTTTCAAATGTTAAGTCATTCAGTTTGCGAAAGAAAATGGAAATCATGCAGTTTGGTTTTCGTGAATGCTTCGTACACGAGTGGAAGAGGCATGAAATTTTACAATGATTATTGCGCCAAAGAATAAATGTGTATTGCATAAAGCAGTAATGAAATAGCTTACCGCCGGCGAAAGTGTTGGAAACTAATACAGAATATTTAGCAGAATATTTAGCCATTCAGTATCTATTGATGGGAATGTATATAACTCTAATGAATAGTACAGAAATAAGATAAAGTTACGTTTCAGTTTGTAGGCCTTACATTTCAAAATGGTTTTAAATACAGCTTAAAGCGCATAGCCAAAGATTATGCTCTCAACCGCTTTTTTCAGTAATAACGTCAGAGAATAATTCTTACAGTTTACAAATGTTTTCAAATAATCCATTCCTTCAAAAAGTAATCTATTGTACTAAGATAATGTGTTTTCGATGGCAGAAAATGAAACAGAACGGCGAGATCCATCAGAGTAAGATCCTGTAATGCTTTAACAATCTTTCGCAGTCTTAAGTAATAGATGAAAAGTGGTAGGCTTCATCTTACACTATATTCTTTATCAATTATTTGTATTATGGACTAGTTGTCTCTATTCGATGTGTGGGAAAAAAACGTCTCCAACAGGTTTATATATTACGATACCATTCAGATAAACGCAAAGGAAACCAACATTTCCATCTAGTAATATTCATTTTATTTTAATTATACCATTTTCTAGTTAGATAACCAATTTGTGAGCAAGAATTTTGCATCGTAACAGTGAATCGTATTGCTGCCAAAATTCCAAATATAAAAACCTAAAGCTCACGATCAACACAAACCGAGAGTTTCTGTGAGATTTGTGAGGTGCGAAGGAATCTCTATTTTGAAAGAAATCGAAATTGATTAAATTCGCTTTATAACATATTATTCAGTTTATTTATCTAATTATATTATGATTCTGATGTAATGTATACACACATTTTAAAAGTTATTTCTTTCGCTCATTTCAATTTGTAATCTTGAATTTTTACACTGAAAAAATCCTGAGTAGAGACGGAAACTGTGGTATGTCAAACTGAATTTAAACAAGGTGAAAGCAAATGAAAAGCTAATGAATGTACATACTACAATAGCTTTTAATTTGTTTAGAATTACAATCTTAGTAATGCAAATCATGCTGATTAACACATAATTAAAAGTGGATAAACATTCCTTTTTGAACGTTTCTTTGAACCTTGATATAAAGTTCTATGAATATCTGCAGTTTGGATATAGACAGCTCAGGGTCAAACAAATTTTAAAATGAAAATTTGTATAAAATTAATTTCATGAGTTCAATTATGAAAGATATGCCGTGCTATATTATTTGCACAATTTAAAGCCAGTAGCACACAACATAAAATTTATTGTTGAAAAATATTGTCATGTGTAAAAGCTATGTGTTAAAAAAGTCAATAAACTGTGACTTTCCAGGTAAAACCGGAAGAATTTCATGAAAGGCACTGAAAACATAGATCTGAACTACGAAAGAGTGTACTTAGTTGCTGCTAAAAATAATACTGGTATCTTAAAGTTAGCATGACTAATTACTAGCTAATAATATATCAGTAGTTACACTTACCGAGCAAAATATTATCAAATGCCGTCCATATACTAAGAATACCATAAAGTTCTTGATAATAAAAATGTTGTTAATAATAAATTCTGGTAAAATGAAACAGGTATATGATTTATTTGTTCTATTTTCTTTTCCGGGTCTTGCTTCGTTTGGTCATTAAATCAATCGTTCTACAGTCGGTATCCAGTTCTGGCTCTGTTCGCTGTTCAAAACCGGTTTCCTTTTCGGGTTTGACAGTTCTTTTCTGGTTCCAGCTTGTCTTTCAGATTTAGAATCTTTTCCGTTTTTTTGCTTCTTTTCCAGGTATTGCGTCTTTTCAGACTCCTCTATATTTTCCATTTCTGGCATCTTTTTCCGGCTCTTGCTTCTTTTCCAGTTTTTTTGCATTTTTTTCCAGTTCCTTCTTCATTTTCAGGTCTCTCTTTTTTGGTTTTTGCAATTTTTCCCTCAACTTTTGCCTTTCCAGTTCATTTTTGTGTGCTTGTTTTAGCATCTCTTCAATATGTTTCTCCATTTTCAGTTCTTCTTTCTTTTCTAGTTTTTGTATTCCTTCCCGTATTTTCTTCTTTTTCAGTTCTTCTTTCTTTTCTAGTTTTTGAATCCATTCCAGTAATTGCTTCTTTTTCAGTTCTTTCTTCTTTTCTAGTTTCTGTTGCTTTTCCAGTTTTTGTTTGTTTTTCAGTTCTTCCTTCTTTTCCAGTTTTTGCTTCTTTTTCTGCTCTTGTTTCATTTTCAGTTCTTGCTTCTTTTCCAATTTTTGCTTCTTTTTCAGTTCTTGCTTCTGTTCTAATTCTTGTATCTTTTCCTGTTCTTGCTTCTTTTCTAGTTTTTGTATCTTTTCCAGCTTTTGTTTCTTTTTCAGTTCTTGCTTCTTTTCTAGTTTTTGTGTCAATTCCAGTTTTCTCTTGTTTTTGAGTTCTTGCTTCTTTTCCAGTTTTCTCCTTCTTTTCCTGTTCTTCCTTTTTATTCAGTTTGTCATTTCTTTTCCAGTTTTTTGCATCTTTTTTCCGGTTCTCGCTTCTTTTCCAGTTCCTCTCTCGTTTTTCCATTTCTTTTCTCGTTTTCCCGTTTTTTTTGCTCCTTTTCATGATCACAAGGAGGATTTTCCACATCTACAAAAAATCGGTATATCTTTATTTCAGTAGTAAAATAGTGAAGGTAATGCAATGACGATCACGTTTAACATGTACAACACTTCCATATTTAGATACTATATAACACTTTTGGCTCAGTTTCATAGGGAAAAAACTCCCCGTAGATTATTGCCTGGCAGAATTGTTTTCTACAAAGGGTGAATTTGTTGTTTTCGTTGTTCTGACCTAAAGCCAAGCAGATAAGTTAAAGTACTTTGCGTTATTTGTATGCAATAAGCGGCCTCCATGAATCTCACGTAGAGCGTAATAATTTGCAAAGTTTCAGTGCCTTACTTTTCCTTACTTAATTTTTACATAAGTTGCAATAATAATAACAGAAATAATAAACAGGTGGCTTAAAAACAGAGGGAAACAATGACGAAAATTGCAAAATAGGAGGAAAAAACCAAACTGAAATGAAAAGGGAAACAACTACAAACAAAGGATGGAAAAAGCATTTTAGAAGATATACACGTAACGTTCTTTCTGAATCAGCAAAACCTGTATTTTAACGAGTCTCTTTGCATCGCTGGCTGCACAGATTTCAAATTTTCTCTCGTTATTCCAAATTCGGATCATATTGCTGGTCTTTTTCGTCGTCCAGCAGAACCGCACTAGGATTTTTGCCACCATTTGTTTTCAATTGAAACTTTTATTCTCATTCTTCAGTTGCATTCTTAAAGTTTATTTATTTATACAGGAAGAAAGAAAGAAATCAATCAAATCAAAGTAAATTAGGAAAAGATATACCTGTTTTCTCCTATATTTATTGTTCCCTGTAATTTCTTTTGCCTGTTGCATTAAATTTATTGAAGGAAAATTTACAAAATCATTCAAAATGTATTTCCTAAATCCTTATGCGAATTTAGCCCTTCTGATCATTTCGGCCACACTTTAATGGCTTTTACAATTTGATGTGTTTGAATATTGACAGCTGCCTATACTGAAATATGTTCTCCATTGTCCTCGAAAAAAGAAAAATTAAAGTTCCAGGAAATTTTGCAATGAAGGACACCATATATCTTATTTGAAGGGCAAGAGGAAAAGAAAAAGATATTTTCGGATGGGAATATGTAGCATTTTAAACACCGTGTTTGTAAATGTCATCATATAGTAGCAACACTTGAGTCATAAGTAATTATACACATATATGAGAGACAAAGATGACGAAAAATTAAATGGCAAAACATGGCCCAAAGCACTTTCCTGGGCGGTGCAAACAACACAAAACACAATAAAGATAGGATTTTTTAGTTTTTTTTTTTTTTTTTTTTTTTTTTTTTTTTTTTTTTTTAGTTTTGTTTTTTTTTTTTTTTTTTTTTTACAATTTTACGAAATTTTGTTCTTCCAACATTCGATTCCCCAGGCCAACTTCTGGATTTTTTTTTTTTTTTTTTTTTTGGACTTTTTTTGAAAGTCGTTTTTTATGCAAGTTAATTCTCGTGATTTCTTTGCTATTTTGCACTTCTTGATTTTTACCAAACCCATGTTTTTAGATTTTTTTCCGAATTTTTCGTTTTTGATTTTTTGATTTTTTTTTTCCCCTGCTTTTTGTTCTTTTATTTCTTCGTTTTCCCGCGCGCTAGGAAAGAAAACAAATATTTTACAATGTTCGTACCCTATATTTTTTCTTGTTTTGGTCTCTCGTCACTATGGGCCAAGAAAGCGTTTCCGACAATGCATTGCAATAAACGATTATATATATATATATATATATATATATATAAACAATATATATACGATTATATATATATATATAAACAATATATTATATATATATAATCTTATAAACATATGTTACCGTGAAAGACCGAAATTGGAGAATATCGACTTTCACCGGAGAATGTCAACATTCACCAATAACGTCGGTGAAAGATCAAATATTGCATTACATTCTTCTACATTCGGACCCTCACCGGTGTATGTCGATAATCACAGATATGCTCTGGTGTAGATTGAAAAGAGCGGAGTATATGTACACACTGTTATTGCAAAAGGAAGTGTTCCACAAATAAATGCAGTTGTAAAAGCAAGGGCCTCTTGTGCAATTGAAAGTGTTATATATTATATATATATATATATATATATATATATATAATCGTATAAACATATGTTACTGTGAAAGACCGAAATTGGAGAATGTCGACTTTCGGTAGATTGAAAACAGAAGAGTATATGTACACACTGTTATTGCAAAAGGAAGTGTTTCACAAATAAATGCAATTGTAAATGCAAGGGCCTCTTGCGCAATTGAAAGTGTCCATATATATTATGTATATATATATATATATATATATATGTATATAATAGTATAAAAATATGTTACCTTGAAAGACCGAAATTAAGTGGAACTCAAATTCTTTACAATCACATTTCTTGCTATCTGAAATATCCGTTCTACGCTTGAGTGGCGAATATTTTATTTTTAAAAAAGGCTTATTTTCAATGCAAAAGGCACAACCTAAACACAGAAACTGACAGGGCACACTGGTGTTTCCGGTCGCCCCTTTTGAGAATGATCACTACCACCTCACGCTTACTATAAGCCTTCACATACTCATCCTCGCATGGCCATATACCGTTGACTTTCTGTTTCTATCACGTTATACTTTAATACGCCATTCTAGATGAAAGTACCCAGCGTAGACCGAGTTTTCACGAAGTGAAGAGGCTTCATTTGGGGGTATAGAGACAATTTCTTTGAAATCTTAGGTAGACAATGATTTTTCTCTTAGCTGAAGTGTGCAAAATTTGACCAAGCTGGAAAAAAAAGTATAGAACAGTTTAGAACTAATATGACACCATGAAACGGTTTTTCTAAGAACTGATACTTGCTTTGTTATCGACTACGTCTTTTTTCGGAAAGGAGCTTATCGAAATTCACCATCCAGTTTAGATTAGTTAGATTTTTTCACCGTTTTCGAAATATTCGCGAAAATTTGATAAAGAAGGCCTTTGGATTATATTTTGAAGTTTCTACACTCTTCTAAAGAGCTATTGTCTTTACTTACACTCACTTGTCTGAGGGTAGTATCAGCCTAAGCCCACGAGATTCCTCGTGGCAAGGAGAGGAACATACACCTGCGGTTGGCAACAGTCTTGAGTACATTGCAGGTGACAGTGCGATTTCGCTCAGTTCCACCCCCCAATTTTCATGGAGAGCACGCCGGGGGGGGACGAGTCCGAGGGCCTTCCATCCCTCTCGCCTTCCATGAAAGAAACCACACTAGAGGACTTTCGGCTTGCCGCATATTTAGAGTGCCCCACCGACACTATGCATTTTCAAACATGCATGACTTCTTCGGGTTTCAAACCCGTACCCTTCAGCTCGTCAGTCAGCGACTCTAACCAGTATACCGGTTGGGCGGCGTTCTAAAGAGTAAATGAACATAGCGGCATCCATCAGTTTTAGTAACAACTATTAGCGGAAGGCAACAACAGCGACATGAAATTAAGACGAGGGACGTGATTTCAAAATTGAAATTGTGTAGAATTGGTGATATTTATGTTTTGTAAAACACAATAATAAATTCCTTGTAGTATGTATAACAGCCACTGACAACAAGAAAGCAGAAAGGGCGATGTGAACCTAAGATGGGTGTTGTAAGCGGGTGTTTCAATAAAAATGCCCTATGTATGGAGTTCGTGGGTTGGTTTTCTGAAATATTATATTGGCAGTGACCTTGTTCTTGTTTTGCAGGTCAAGTAAGCAAAATTTCATTCAGTTCGGAATAAAAGTGTAGATTTGCATGAATTACACCCCCACACAAGCAAACAAACGTGAATTGAAGTAAATCTGCCTTTGTTAATTAATAACATAATACATTTGAAAGAAGATTTAAAAATTTCACTCTTTGCTGAACGACAATGCATTGCTGTTTGGAAGATAAAATATTTAACTCTGGGAAGGACAAAACATTTCTCTTAAATTATTGATTTGTTTATTAAATTCGAAAGATATATTAATATACTACGTTTTGCAGAGAGGCAACATACGTCTTTTATATATCGGAGTTTTGTAATTAAAATTTGAAATACAAATATCTCACGTTTTGCAGAGTGGCAACACGAAGCTTTTAAATCCCTAGGCTTGTAATCAAAAGTTCATTAGATTAACGTAATATATATAAAATGCGGATCCCGCGAAGTGGTTTCTGAGAAATTTTAAGTAGGCCGTGACTTTCTTTTTGTTTCGAAGGTCAAATGGGCAAAATTTCATCGACATCGGAATAAAACCGTAGATGTGCATGAAAAAATAAACGCATGAACACTCTTCTTTATTTACATAGATTATAATTGTTATTTATGGTTTATTTTTTTATAGAAATTCCTGAGAGGGGCTTATCTTTTATGTAATCAGTTGCAAAGAGCTTTTTCTCTTACCGTAAAATTGTTGGTTTTGGAGGAAAAGCTTTCTAAAACTTTACGGTTAAATCATGCTGAATAATTCTCATTGATTTTCCTGCATGGGGTCGTTCATAAGCCCATGTGCTCATTACGATCGGTTCCTCCATGCCACTCATCAGCGATGTTTCAGATATAAAATAGCACCTGCAACAATAAGAAACAGCGATTCATTAACATCTATCTAATGCATAGAAGGTAACGGGACTTTGTTTGTCTGTAGATTAAATAATTCTATTTAAAGAATTCATCTATAGTTTGATGTCATGAATAATAAAAGCTTGGGGCATCCAAGTTAAATTAAAAAAGATAATATATTACACGTACATTTGACAATGCAATTAAATTAATAGATTTCGCTTTTTAAGCCTCCCAAGCTTTTATTATATTCCATATAAAATTTCAGATGAATTCTGTA